TTAGGGGTTTAGGGGTTTAAGGGTGCAAGGTTTAGGGATCTTCTAGAAGCCTGCTCATGCTAAAGCTTAATTACAACATCACAGCGACTACACTTTTGGACGCCCTACTCCCCGTCGACGACAGTGCAGGCACATGAAACCCCAAACCCTAAAGCCTGAACACGTCTCGGGGATCGGTTTCGAGGATAGACTGGAATTAGACCAATAGGGTCTTAGAGCAGCAGGGCAGCTTCGTAAACGTCACGTAAACTGATCCTGGGTCTACACCCTAACGCCTTAAACATAACTAAGTCCCCCTGATCCAGTACACCCTACCACCATGCAACCAACTTACTGAGTCCCCCTGACCTTTTAACTACACCCCGGGGTTCAGGGCCTAGGGCTTAATGTAGGGACCCTAATAATTAGACTAGGCTTTTGGGGTCCTTTGTAGTATACTTATAATAAGGAACCCCCCCAAAATGAAAGAGGTAATTATTGCGGCCCCTATATTCGAAGATTACCAGGCGACGGGTGGGGTAGTAGTGCTAAACGTTGTGGACCAAAGGATGGATTTATTCCCCAGGATTAGGGTTTAGGGTTTAGGGTTCAGGGTTTACCTCAACCCCCAAATTAATTAACCTACCTTTTAATGGACTTATATAAAGAGACCATACTAAGGAACCCTAAAAAAGGTAGGTTCTTCAGGGTCCAGGATGGTCCAGGTAGGGCTCAAGCCCCGGATTCAACTTTCAAGCTCTTCTGTCGTGTGCCGGGATGTGCTGTACAGTGCAGGTTGAGGAACCGGACCGACAACCTCGCCTGCTCAGTTTAGGGTTTAGGGTTTAGGGTTTAGGGTTTAGTTCATGCAAACCCTGATCAATAACCCGTACTCCTTTGATCAGGGGTGTAGTGCATCAACACGAAATGAAGAAAACATATATGTAAATACGTGTGTAGTTACATATAGACGTACAGGAAGGTAGTAATAAGAGCAATAGTAGTAACAATTCTGATAATGGTTGCTATCATTGCTGTCATTATGTTGTTACTGCATTACATGTGTATATACGGATCTGTATGTATGCATGCATGCATGTGTGTGTAGAGTCCCGCAGCAGAAGGGATGTGTTGATCCGGCATGTGCCGTGGTAGTCTCAAGCAATACGGAGCCTTCTCAGAACCGGTCCTTGTTGCAATGTCCCCTTCTACAGGGAGCTCCTTTCAGAAACTGAATGCTGAAAACCGTCGCAAAACTCTTCAAACTGAAAGAATGAAACCCTAAAAACAAGGCTTATGATACAACCGTGAAGAAAGCCGCATGGATATAGCTCCAGCTGAGGAGCCAGCGGATGCACAATCGCCTGCAGATGTCAAGGGCACGAACTGCAGAGGCCAAGGATTCCGGGGATGAGGATGTCAGGCTCAACGGCTTAGCTCCAGTCCCTAAGTGAGCCGCCAGACTCCCGCAACTTTCAACGAGAGGCGCTAGCCGTGCTGATGGGAAAAAGAGAAGTGCAGATAGCAAACCCCCAAAAATGTTGCAAACTGGATTAAGGACAATTAGCGCTGGGATTCCACATACATTACTCCGTAAGGATTGAGGCTATTGGGTTTCCATGTTTTGGGCTTCCAAGCCTAAACCCTAAACCCTAAACCCTAAACCCTAAACCCTAAACTGTAAGGATTGAGGCTAGTGGGTTTCCATGTTTTGGGCTTCCAAGATATATTAAAGCCCCTTACATCTTCTGGCCAATGCGGCTGGGATGGTCTCTGCGTAAAAACCATGACTGCTTCAGGTTTAGGGTTTAGGGTTTAGGGTTTAGGGTTTAGGGTTTAGGGTTTAGGGTTTAGGGCTTTGGCAGGTCTTACGCGCTTAGAGGCGATCATCACGGCGATGGAAGCCGTTGCGCAGAGCGAAGTGAAGCTATAATGAGGATCAACATTTTGATCGTGCTGGTTCTGCCAAGAACTCTCAAATCCCACCATCATCTGACCCGTACCTCAAAAACCGATGACAACCCTGGACCCAGCAGTAAAACCGTAAACCCCATATCAACCATCCTTGACCCAAAAATGATCCTAAACTCTAAACCCTGAACCCCAACCTCTAAACCCTGAACCCTCAAATCTCAGAACCATGAACCCTAAGCCCTAAACCCCTAAACCATGAACCCTAAGCCCTAAATCCCTAAACCATGAACCCTACTTGAAGGATCATGGGACTTAGTACTAGGGTTATAAATAAGGTGACTATAATTATAACCCCAATTAGGGTACTTATAACCTTACTTTCTACGTCCCATGATCCTCCAAGTAAGCCCGAAACCCCTAAACCATGAACCCTAAGCCCTAAATCCCTAAACCATGAACCTTAAGACCTAAATCCCTAAACCATGAACCCTAAACCCTAGACCCTAAACCATGAACCCTAAACCCTAAATCCGTAAACCATGAACACTAAACCCTAAACCCTAAAAATCAACCCCCCCCCCTCCGGCATCACTGAGATCGCCTCCAAGTCTTTCAAGCTCGACTTTGGATCGGCAGAAGACCTCTCTCGCCGCACGTAGCTCAAGATTTAGGGTTTAGGGTTTAGGGGTTTAGGGGTTTAGGGGTTCGGGGGTTTGGGGGTTTTAGGGGTTTAGGGTTTAGGGTTTAGGGTTTTGGTGTTCATTGGTAGAGATTCAGGCCCCTGAATTGCTTGAAAGATACGGGACTTGTCAAAGAGATGTTGTGCAGGGGTTTCATTTGTCATGCGCTTAGGGTTGACTTGGAGAATCAGCTGTACTAGGAGTATGACGTAAGTTCAGCCACGAGAGATGTACACAACAACACGGTTAAGATATTTACAACTAGTAACATTACATATCAAGTCTCCTGATCCTTCAAGTAACAGTCAAGCAGCTCGAGGCAATACAGAGGCCTTAATAATTAGAATAGGGTTTCGGGGTTTTCCTATACTATACTTATAATAAGGACCCCCCCACCCAAGACCCTGATCTAATTATTAAGGCCCTCTATTAGAGGGCTTTTTGCATCTTTAGGACGCATGTCGGTCGATACCGACATCCAAAACCTTGAACACACTGCCCAAACCTTCATCTCTGCGTAATGTAGGGGCCAAAATAATTAGAATAGGGCTTTGGGGTATATTATACTATAACTATAATAAGGAACCACCAAGTAGAAGAGGTAATTATTTAGGCTCCTATATTTTAACATCGGTCTGAAGATCAATGAGCGACCCGTTCCCAGTTCCATCGAAGCAAGACAATACAGACAGCAAGCTTCTACAAGGGCCCTTTATCCATCGAACATGGTTTGGGGAAAATGATAC